AAGGAGGAAGGCTGTTACCCACAATGTGTGATCACACTGGGTTAGTGACCACGCTAAGGAGGTGATAGGAGGGAGGGCAGGAGGTATAGTGAATCACATATTGTGACCATGGGTGTATCAAAAGATAAAAAAAACTGTTCTAGTAATCCTGCATGAAACAGGTTGATGGTACAAAAACACAAGAAAAGAAACTATATGGCATATTATCATTTGTAGTTTCAGTGAGACAAGCCTGCCCTCTAGTGAGCAACATGATATAAATCTCCTGAGACGCAGCCCAGAGACACATCATACAAAATACAAGAGTTTGGAAGTCTTTTTAATAAATCAACAAAGAAATAGTAGAGGGGGCAACAACATCATTAATTAATGATCGAGCATTCATTCTCTTATCTTTAATTTAATTAAATTATTTAAATTTTATTTTTAAGAAATAGTGTTTTCCCAGCACCTTAAAATGAAACTGACAATACTGGAGCAGTGCAGTTTGGCAAGTGTTGTCCATATACCAGTTCAGATGTCAGGTAATAAGAAATATATTTCAACTAAACCCTATCCATTAAGATACAACACATTGGAACTTGTATTGGTACTTGTGGTATATGAATTATGCAGCTTCACTAAGCCCATATCCCTGTTTTAGGAAACCTGGAAATGCCAGCTAGAGTAATCCAATAGAAACCTGGATACTATGTGAACACCTTCAGGTTCTTAATCATTCTCCCACAGTGTGCAAGTCATCAACTATCGACATGATGGTAAATAATACAATGTAATGACAATGGACAAACTGTCTTCAGTCATGCAGTGCAGATCATAAACTGCATTAGATCAAAAAGGAGTTGACAGCCAGAAACCAAAAATGTGTTTATTTTTAACTGCTAGTAACTCAGTCAGAACAGAAATATGTGGCTGAAATTCAGTGACCATACTGTTATGATGATGCAATAGGGATATGAATAACCAGTTTTCTCATGTTCCATGTAAATGTCACAGCCTGAATATGATCCCGGAATAAGACTCAAAACCACCATTGTGCATGTAAACGCATTCAATTACCTCCACATCAGTATCTCATCATTATACTGCCAATCTGTGGTGTCAACAGGAGTTTCCAGTCATTACATCGAAAGATAATTGCAGATTATTATGGCTTTGGTCTATTTGTGTAATTTTGGTCATCATTCCTATTGGTTATGATACTGTACCGTTATACTTACCAAAATAATTGCTGAGATCTGGGAAAGCAGGAACATCACATCAGAGTCCAATGGGGCATGATACATGGGCAGTCAGACAATCATACAGGATGTAAACAAGAGTACAGGTTAACCGAATTATCTAAACCACTTTATTTGGAGGTAAAAAATAATAACTTTATCTTCTAAATTTACTGTATGTTTGGTCTTTCACATAAATTTGACTAACCTGGAATTTGTTTCCAAACTGTCTGCCTCTTTCCAGGTTTTAATTTTTAGCGATGTCACCACCTCCTCAGCAGTGAGCATAATGTTATTATAACTTATAGGACTGGAATAGGAATAATGGCTAAGACTTAAGACCTAAGTCAAAATAAACCAGAATTATCATTCAAGATGTCCCGCAAAGACCTCTGGGTATTTAGTGGATATTCTCCCTCTAGGATTTCCCTTGTGCTAATCCACATATATTAGACTGCATTTCCTGGTTCAGCTCACTGACTGCAGAAGGCATTATCAAGAATCTAATCGCGTGTACTGTGTCATTATGTTGGTAACAGTTGGTGAGGCTCTCTGACCCATGCTGAACTCACTGACAATGCAAGGTTATGACAGGTCAGATTAACTGCACAGCCTGGACTGTTGTGTGTATTATCTCAGCTATATGTCAAAGTCTATTCCAGCACCACATCCAGTCATAGTATGGTAAAGGCCAAAGCCTGAGGAGGTCGAGACCAAGTCATGTCGATGATTAAATGGTCAACAGAAGTGTACCTACAGGCACAGCGTTCTACACCTTTTAAGATCCAGCAATGCATCCTAATGCATTGAATGCAATCAATGAGGACACCATATATTGGCAGGAAAAAGTCAGTATTCAGTTGTTTTGTCAGCCTTGCCCTAGGAATGACAATGTTGGTCGGTTCATCCCCGTACAGTCCAGACCGAAATGTCTCCACAACTATTCGATAGAGCGCCATCATAGTGAGGTATCAGTCGCAATCATCATTTAAATGGGGATTACAGTGCACACTTTCCTAGTCTTTCCTCATAGGCAGTCATGTTTTTGCCGTAATTTATACACACAAAAAGTGGCAAAGGTCACTGTGTGAAGAATGAGAAGAGACCTTTAGAGAGAGGTTTATACTCTCATACTCCACACACCTGCAGCAATTGTTGCATTGAGTAGGCATACATATCAGTTTTGGAAATGTTGAGCACAATTCGGAATTTGAAAAGGTGTGGCGTGAGGGGGTTTTAATCGCTGATCGATAACACTTCATTTGATGCACACTTACCCTTTTATTCCTTTTTCTCAGTGAATCAGAGGTCTAATTCAATAATACTTTAACTGTCAGGTACAATAAAAACAGTGACATTGGCAAGGAAGTCTCTCTAATGAGGTCTGCCCCCTGAGAGGGTCTTTCTCAATTCTCTTTCCAGCTTGTATGGTTTAAGGCAGCATATTAACCCGGATCAGGGGGAAATTGGGGGGCACATTTCACAAAGATCAGCCTGTATGGACAACCAAAGCCTCATTCATTGAAATGGCAGGTAATGTTTCCCCATCCTTAAGACAAACTCACCGTATTCCTGAATGCCTGTCACCGGTCATTTCCTCTACCCCAGTGGTCTTTGAGGCTATGCATTCAATACTGTTTCCAACCTGCCCAAGAAGAAACCAAAAATGGGTCTTTGTAAATGCTACTTCTTGCTTGACTACTCAAATCAAACTTTCTTTCTATACCACATGGAAAATAATTTTTTTTGAGTGTCTCTACTTTCATGTTTAATATTTTCATGGTACCTCTAGTGTGGAGCAAGTTTTATGACCCCGCTTTTCTTATTTCTTGTTTATTATTTTATATATTATAAGATATAAGCATGTGACAGCAACAGTGAGTTACCTTTTAGTTTTGACGTAGAGAGAACATCCAAATATATGAACCATCCAACATATTATTTGTTAATAGTTGTCATTCCCATTCATGCTCAGTGCCACAGAGTGGGATTTACTGCCTGATCCTCAATTACACTTGCAGGAGGAAGTCTGTCAGGGGGGATCTTTGCCAGATGTGTGGAAGATATTAGCTCGTAGGAGTTCCAGAGGACTGACTAAAAACTACGGCTAGCGAGATGATGTAATGAGGAGTCAGTGATGCATATCAAGTACCGACTGATGTAAGTCCTCTAAAACCTTGGATGAGATCACAAAGAGTATGTTTAGTAGGATCTGTTACACAGCTGACATTCCCATTGAGTGATGAAGATGCAGTTAAGTGACCCTCTACTTTGTCTGTATAGAATAGATTTGTAAAACAATATGAATCTATGCTGGCATTTAACAGACTTTCATTATGCATTCACTATTTGTACTGCTAAATGTCAGACATGCCTAAAACATTTTTACTTTTACAACTCTAAACAAAAGATAAAGTTTAGGTGTTTAAGTTTGGTGAGGTGTGATCCTCCATTACATCATCGTTTCCCTAAGCTGGAGTTGATGATTTTGCCTCTTGGTGTAATGAGTTCAATTTAAAGATAAACAAAAAAGCACATGGTCAATGATTTTAGAGCAACACAGCCCTACACAACCATCCACAACAAGGACAGTGAGATTGTTTTCCGAGTACAATACTCACTGTAACTGATAATAAGATGTGCTTTGAGTCAAATACTTGTAAATGCTGTCTATATAGCGGTCCAGCAGTGTTTGTTCTCTCTAAGATGAATGATTTTAATAACTGTCCAATGCTCGTTGAGTTGTGAAAAGTAAATGAGTACATTTACTCATTATTTTATTTGAAAGTTATCGCTACGTTTTTCACAAAACGCTTCTATGACAATCTTCTAAAATAAAATCCATTATTAAATATTAAACCAATGGTTTCCAACTGGTGTGGTGGTTCAGTGGTTAGCACTGTCGCCTCACAGCAAGAAGGTTGTGGTTGCCCCAGCCTCCTCCCACCATCCAAAGCCATGCAGACTAGGTTAATTGGTCTCTAAAATTGTCCTTAGGTGTGAACGTGAGTGTGAGTGGTTGTTTGTCTATGTGTGGCCCTGCGATAGACTGGCGACCTGTCCAGGGTGTACCCCGCCTTTCGCCCGATGTCAGCAGGGATTGGGTCGAGCCCCCGCGCGACCCTGTACGCAGGATAAGCGGTTGACGATGGATGGATGGGTGGTTTCCAACCACTTCAGCTTGTGACCCATTACAAAACCAACAGTGCCTAGTTAGGGCCTTTGTCACATCTCTGAAGAGAGAATCCCATTTATCCCTCTAGTCATTGCAAGGCTGAATTTTGTAATGTAATACACACATTTTGTATATTGCATATATGTTTTTTACTACTACTAGTATCTGTGACAATGTGTTGATTCATTGAGGTACGTGCCAGACAACGTGTCAACGTGTTTGACCCTGAGGAAGACTGGTGTGTACTGTTCTCAAATCAAGTAGCTACTATGAATAAATTCCAAGCAAGGGTGTTACTTACTTACATTAATTACACAATAAACGATGGCTTCCTTTTATTCAAGTGACCCAGGAGCCTGAAACTGAAGCAGCTAAGTGGAATTCAGCGATTACTCTATTTACGCCTGTGCTTTTCCCCACTGTGACATGTCAATATGTTCACTGAAATGGAACAGAAGGCGTGCAGCAGCTTTGTGTGTCTGCATTTGCATTGTGTGCCCCCATGTGGTAAAACACTGTTAGTCAAAGCTCCAAAGTGCTGTTGTTTTGCAGAAAATGTGTAAATGTTCACATTACAAAATTGAGAAACATTGCACTTCTTTGCATAGAGGGCATCTTAAAACCTTTAATAAAACAAAAGTAAATACAAATATGGAACAAATTTCCTGTAGTACAAAGAGTTTACTAACACACGATTCACTATCGACACAATGTAGCAGAGAGAACAACAAGTAGATTGGAGTTTGATGTCATTGCTACAGATGAAAGCGCTTCATCTTAATCTCAACATGGGCTTTAGGGAGATCCATAAACAGAGAAATAGAAATGTAAATAAACATCTGACCTGTTTCAGTTTGACAGTACTGAAGTGTTGTTTGAAATACATACATCACATTGACATATTGTTTTTTTCTGTTGCAATAACAGTGAGGCAGTGTGGCATTTCCTACAAGTCAATATCGCTGATACAGCATAACATCAACCGGCTCAAATGTGATATCGCTCCCCTGCTGGAGTCTAGAGAAGGTTCTGTCAAATCCATTCAACAGATCAAGCTACAGGCTGTGAGAAACAGACAAATGTGAATGTACGCCTGTATGTGACATTTAGCAGATGGAAATGAAATGTGAAGCCCTTTTGTTAAGTTCACCAGGTAACACATTATACAAGAGCAAGCAAACAAACATACATACCGTGCTGCTACGCTGTGTCTGCGGGCACAAATCAGCACATAGGCCCGAATGTAATGCAGCAGCTACTTTATTTGAGGCTGCAGTCATGCATGCAAAATGTAGTCTACATAATGTGGATCAATAAACATATTCTAAAGAGGAAATAAAGAGGATATATGTTTCTGTAATAACAAGAAAAGAAATGTTGAAAATTTCTGCACAACAGCCGGTAATATTAGCTGCAACCTATTGAGGTCAGACTGCAGATGCATCTTCTCACAATCAGCCAGACGAACCAAACCGTGCTTTTAAACAGTCTCAACATACAGTATAACTTTTTTAATAAGTACAGTCTATATATTATTTAGATATGTTTAACTTTCTCACAGCAGCAAACAGCTCCTCAAACTCAAGCACACTGTCAAAGTTTGTACCACAATTACATCACACGCTCATATCCTGTATATATTGATCATAAAACAAATAAAATGCTGGTCTACAATATGACCTAGTGTTTGGTATATGCATTTCTTTCTCCTACTGAAACCCCTCATGCACAGAGAGGTTTCAGTATTTGTTGAGAGGTTTAAAAACATGCTGGAAGTGTTTGGATGAAGATGCCAAAAGCTGGATGTTAATGATATGCTGACCTCGTTTTTAATCTGTGATCAAATAAAGTAACGCCATTAACATTCACTAGTTTTATGTATGCAAAGGGAAACATTCTTAGTCATTTTGATTTCATCACATCAAAGGGTCAAGTAAAGGGGGACTTCATAAAGGTCAACAACAAACAACAAATTAAAGATAAAAATAAAAAAAATACACTGCACAAAATCAAAGGTTTCACATTTTGGTAGGTTGACACTCACACGAAAGCACATCCACGACTCAGGGCTCAGGAAAGATAAAAAAAGAAAAGAAAAAAAAAGGTACAGGCACTTCTTTTTCTGTAAAAAGTAGGTCAGTTCAAAGCTGTAAGGAAAGCCAAAAATAGGAATATTTTACAATAACATCAACCATTTTCTCTTTTAATACCTCAGCTCTGCTTCCATCCTGAGGCCTTCACATCTCAGTTCCAGCCTCCACATACCACACTCTGTGGGTCTAAGCTCGACCAAAGGCTACAACCCATATGGAAATATAATTCAGTGTCTTCTCAAAGTGCTCAACAATCCTGACGTTTTCTGCATTTCGTAATGTTACAGCATCAAGGTTAAATAACTTAAGTTAGAATAGCCACATACAGCTGACAAATTCTAATAATGCAATTGTATTAAAATTGAAAAGCTGAAAGCAGTATGGTGATGAAGGAACTTAGTAGGTGGTGTATCCATCACTCTTATTTGTCTTTTAATACGTCTCCAAATAAAATGACTGGTTGTGTTTATAGAAAGAAACATCTGCAATTCATGCAGCGATGATCTGCCTCACAGATATAACTACATGTCACAACAAAAACGTGAAACCTGGTGCCTGTCCTATGAAGCAGGATTTGGGGTTAGCAAGGTAACTTCAGGTTTAACCCTGGGTTTTCATTTACTTCTTACTGGGCTACATTGCAATGGGAACTTATGCTGAAGGGTTTTATACTTGTATGTAGACTACCAATATCATCCTACAACAGAGACTGATTTTTATTAAAGCCTTTTAAGATATGAAAGTAAACCTGCATACCACTTAGAATTTGTAGCACATCGCTTACAAGAGTACAGTTAGTGGTAGTTATGATAGTCTTTTTTTGCTAAAAAAGACTAACGAGTCTAGAGCACCGCCAAATCATGAACGCACCCACATTAGAATTTTTACAGCCCCACACTCTTGCTACTGGAGCAACATCACAAAATGTAGAAAAAAATGGAAATGAATAATTTGTGAAGACACTGTGGTGGACATATTTTTGATATACCTCTCATGTGGTAAATATGTACAAAATCAATGCACAGGGATATTCAATATTCTATTTTGGCCATTTCAATATCTGTACATATGCATGTTAAATATTCTAAATTGCTAAAATGACAATGAATACATCCTCAGTGAAAAGGTCAAAGACACTATGCAGACAACAAATATTGAAAAAAAGCCAAAGATTAATATCAAAAGATATTTATTGAATCTATCAGAACTTGTATGCAAATATATGTTTTATTTTTTAGTAAAAATATGTCATATTTCCATTTGGGAAAATCAGCTTGACTACCATCGGTTTCCTGGACAAACAGCCCAGAAACTGTTGCAAGCTACGGTGCATCTTCCACAGATCCAACATGCAAACTAAGGCGGCAACTAACGGCAAAGAAATGGAACACACACACACACACACACACACACACACACACACACACACACACACACACACACACACACACACACCAACATTCACAACTGAGATACTGCACTCAGAATTCATGGAATTCAAACAATATCCACCACCACAAATGACTACCATTGAACACAGGACTTGAGAGTTGGAGGCATAGATGTTAAGAAACAGTAAACAAGTGTAAAAGTCCAACTGCACTACAAACTGTGTGCAAAGCTGAGCAATACTCTGAAGGCTACATGGGCGTCACACTGTTATTGGAGCTCTATGTTTGTAAATAAATGCAATACAAAAAAGGATTAGTTTACCAAACGTCAAGCAGTACACGCAAACTGTGAAGCGCCTAGACCTACTTGATCTATCACTGCGTTTGTAGGCTGTTCAATCTACATAGCTACGGTGTCTCTGGTCTAATTGTCATTATTTTCAAAAATAAAATCTTGAAATGTTGGAGTTTGAAATTACAAATACAAAAGATCAACAGACTCAGAATTTTACTGTTACAGTTCACAGCTCTCATCCAGTTTGTTCCTAGCAGCAGCTCCAGTGAAAAAGCTGATTAACACACTGTACACTATCCACAGACAGACAAAGTTAGCAACTAGCTGGTGAACACAGTAAAGCATCTAGCAAGCCAAAGAGCAAGATATTTTTCCTCAGGAGTTGGTGGAGAGAATACTGGATTTACATTTCATCATGTTAGCCGAGACACAATCTCAGAACCCATCTGCTATTCTCTAACGATTTGGCTCCAACGTAGAATGTTTATGGGCTTCCAGTGTGGCCAGCTGATATCTGGCCACAGATATCCAGGCCAAGTCTTCCTTTTCCGTGCACCGGTTACTGTTTTCAGTTTGATTTGCAATCTCGGAACCCATCGGCTATGGTCTGACAATGATTTAACCTCTGTGGGCAACAACCAATGTTTTGGGGATTCCGTTGTAGCCAGCAGATATCCGGCTACGGATATAGTATGTGCCGGTCAGTGTTAATAATATGGTGGGCCACCACTAATAAATGAATGTATGGAAAACACTGATTACTTTGTTTTCAGTAGTGTATAAAGACCTTACATAATGAAGTAAGAAGAGAAGAGAAATTTGGATAAATGCAGGACCACACGTATTTTTCGTCGGTCACTGTAGCTTCTCTTGCACACTTGCAAAGGGAGGGGTGAGCGGTGAGTGAGCTGTTTATTGCATTTCGCAACCCTCACCACTAGATGCCACTAAAACTTACACACTGAACCTTCACGCAACAGTAGTTATGGTAGCTACCAGTTAAAGCCCAGCTAGCAGTGATAACTGAGTTTTGTCACAAGAGGAACTTATTTATTAAACTGCAGCATGAAACAACATTTGAATGTGAATGGACATTCAATCCTTGTGAAAACTCAGTTAAACCCTTTTTTTTTTTAAATAAATCAGGTGATTTTTCTGCGTTAAAGTAAACATGTTGAGCCTCATCTATGGTATAAGAAGCAATAGAGTGATCAGTGGAATTTAGCATAATATTCTACCTAGGTCTTGGAATCAGTTCAAATGCTGTTTAAGGGTCTTACGCAGGGTGGAAAATAACACCCGTCACCAGCCAAATACTGGCACTGGTTTTTGTTAAAGAAAAAAATTTTTGATTGGTAAACTAGTTATAGTGGCTAAAGAAGTTTTGAAAACTGTGGCCAGTGTTTCCTGCTCTACATATTGCCGTCAACAATCTGTACCAAAACCATAAGAACAAGACAGACCCCCAAAGAGAAATGCCTGTTACAGGAGCCTGGTGAACAGCTTAGTAGCAACAAAAGGCAAGGTTGAATTTATGCTGTCATTGTTTGCCTAGAGTCCAGTGAGGTCTACAATAGCCTTGATGAAGATGGTGTCGTCGCGAATGTAGGAGTTTTTAGAGTCCAGCTTGGAGAGCGGACAGAAGAGTGGGCAACCACTAGCGATGTTCATATCGCTGACAGGCCTCTGGAAGGATGAGGAGGAGATGTCGGGCCGGAAGGCATCAATTATGTGCTCCCTGTTGTTCTGGTCGAGCAGCATTAGGGTGACCTGGGTACAGATGTTGGGAGTCTAGCCTTACATCTGCTGACGGAAAGACTGGAGCTGACCCATACTGCAGTTCCAGTCTATAGCATGATGACACCTTAAAGGTGCTAGTTATAATATGATTAACAGTGTATCAAAAACCAATAGAAGCCAAAACAACACTGAGCTTTTGGATTTCATAATAATTTGGTTTCCATGATATGCTGTGCATCTAATATGCTTATTTCTTTCTTCTTGAGAGTTAAATGAGAAGATAACAATCTAATTTCTTTCTGGAATCAGGACATAGTTAGCCTGGCTTAGCATTAAAGACTGTTAGATAGGGAAAACATATCTAAAGCTCCCTAAATAACATGTACCTTTTTTAAAAACTTAAAAATACTGTTAGCTAAGAAACAGTTCCAACAAGTAACTTTTTCTTAAGCTACAAATTGTTATTTTTACAACTGTGTTTGTGTACCAGTTACACAAACAAGATACAATGCGTGAGCTTTGTCTTTTAAACTGGATGGTACCAGCCCAACTCACCTCGACTCTGCTCGCCTTTTTTGGTTTTCCATTGGGCAAATCTGGTACCTGGTAGGTTTTTTAGTATCACCTCTGTCGAGGTTACAAGCGAGCTGGAGAGATACCAAAAGGTGACGTGAAAACACTGCAGACTAGTGATTAGTCAGAGAGAACCCACAACAAATCCCTGTCAGAAATAACCTACCTAGCAGCTGGTGTGCAGCTAGTCCTGCGGTGTGTTTACAGCTGTGCCTGCTGCTAGCTCAGTTTAAGAGCTCAGATTGTTTTTAGTTCAGGATTCCTTCGATGACAGGGCACCAAAAGCAAGTCGAGGCGAGATGAGGCGAGGTGTGATGAGCTGGTACCAGCAATGGGACAGTGGCATTAGACGTGTTGGCAGGCATAATTTTGGGCTAACCACATCCTGACTACAGTTCCGAAGGTCACAGTGAAATGGCAGTTACACCATCTTTAGCTTGTGGGTGGGGTTTAGTCACAAGCAGGATTTAAATCCAATCTTTAATTTTGTTTGAACTGCTCAAAAGTGGGAGTAGGTTAGCAAATATAGCACAACACAGAGCTATAAGACATAAGGAGCCATAGAGGACTGTTGGCTTCCATCCACCAATGGTCAATGAGCCAATGGTCATGTGCTGTTTTCTACAATGAGCAGGTTAGTTGGTCGCTCAAAATTACATTTGACTGGATTAATTCATTTTAAATAAAATTTAAAAAAATCCGATGAAAGTTCCAATGTTTTGTGGCATTTTTTTGCTCTAAAATTGTGGGAATAGGTGAAAACTGCAAAGATAGATTCGATTTTTTTTAACTTCAGAATTATAGTTGAATCATTAAACTGTCCCTCCAAGATTTCACGGGCCTAACCCTAACCCCCGTTTTTATAAAGAAGATCTGGATCCTGTTTTTCACTGCCCTTTTTTTTGTCAGCGAATGTGAGACAATGGTATCACACATGTCTGCTGCGATGTCAGCTATGACAAGCTGGACAGCGATGATAGGTCAAATTTGTGGAAAAGCTGCGGTGATAGGTCACGCTGAATTCACAGGGATTTTATGAATTTATGTTAATAGTCCTAGAGGGACTGATTTAGCATATAAGAAGAGATAAGCAAACAATGAACACAGGGACAACTTCAAAAACACAGATATGAGATCCTCTCATTTCTCTCTCAGAAAGAACGCAAGTAAGCACATTTCCCAGAATGCAGAATCATTCA